TCTTCTTGTGGTAGTGGATTCTTTTTTCAAGTGGGTGGAAGCTTTTCCTTTGAAGAATATTAAGGTGACGACTGTAGCGGAGGTTTTTGTTAATCAAGTAGTTTCTAGGTACGGGGTGCCATTAGAATTACATACGGATCAAGGTAAAAATTTTTGAATCTCGACTTTCTCAGGAGTTGTCGTGGATGTTAGGAATGAAGAAGACGAGGACTATTGCGCTTAATTCGCAGTCTGATGGGCAGGTTGAAAGACAGCATCAGACGATAATGCAGTATTTGTCTAAGTTTATTGATGAGAATCAGAAGAATTGGGATCGTTGGGTTCCGATGTTTCTTTTTGCTTACAGATCTTCTAGGCATGAGGCTACAGGGGTTTCACCTGCCGAATTAAATTTCGGGCGTGATTTGCGTCTGCCGTTAGATTTGTTACGGGCCTCTCTGCCAAATTACTGTTCAAGTTCTTCGGAAGATTATATTCGTGAGTTGGAGTCGAAATTAGAAGAGATCCATCAAGATGTTAGAGAGCGTTTAGAAATGAAATCGAATAAAGCAAAGATGCGATACAATTTAAAAGCTAGGCACGTTCTTTTTGATGTTGGGCAAAAGGTTTGGTTCTTTAATCCTCGCAGAAGCAAGGGGAAAGCTCCTAAATTGCAGAGAAATTGGGAGGGCCTTACGTGGTCGTTAAGAAATTGAGTGATGTAGTATATTGTATTCGTCGCTCAGATAGGCATAGAAGTAGAGTGGTGCATGCTGATAGGTTGGCTTCGTTTTGCGAAAAAAGGGAGCACGCGTCGGAGTCCCGTGTAGACTAATGGGGGATGTATTTTTGTTTTTGTATTTTGGGTATTTGTTTGTTAAACGTAGTTATTCTTCTTATTCGTTTAGTTTTCTTTCTTTCAGTTATAACTCCGTTGCTACCTTGAATTTCCGTTTCATCGTTGGACGTCGGGAGACATCTGCGTCGTGTCGAGTCGTTGCAAGATTTTCATCTTTGAGGCCGTATTAGAAGTCCGCCTTGCTCACGGTTTTGAACGTGGTTTTCCGTGGGTCTTTGGGTAAATGCCGAGGCGAGGACTTGGGATGTCCTTCTGGACGATGGGTCCACGTGAGTTTCCTCCCCTTGTCTGAAGTCGGAAGGATTTTGTGGACACAGAAGTTACCCCAGAAGGGATTCTCGAGAAAAGTTTCCGATCAACCGGCTCATTTATTCTGAGACAGCAGTCTGGAAAAGAGCGGGAAGGTTGGCTTCTTTTTGATCATCGGGACGATGATCTAGAAGAGAGAGGAGGCAGTGTTGCGAGATGCGGCGTGTGTCGTCCACGCGGTATATGAAGATTTTCAACGATCGATCGCTTGGACGCTTTTGTTCAAGTAGCAACGGGGTTTGTTGACAGCGAGGTTCAAGAGAGTGAGCCGCCGGATTCGGAATCGTCGACAGGCTGGATCATCGGCTCGAGATTTCTTTACGTTTTCCGTGGCCTTTTGTAACGCGTTCTCTAATAAAACTCTGTTGTGTTATAATACGCGGTGTTCTCTTTTCTTTCCGCGAAGCGCAGTAACTCGGCGGTGACGCGATTAAACGCTGCCGTGAGCGCAACAATATATATATATATATATGGAAGAAATATGAAATAAATAAATAATAAATATCACTTTATTGTAAATTTTATTAACATTTTTGTGTATATATTAAATATTTGAAAAAATACTTGATTTATCTTTATTTCTAATGCAGTATGTATTTTATTAGTATCTTTTTAATTACATACAAACATTCTCTACTCTGTATACATGTGTATATACAGGGTCATCAAAAAGTATCGGACCCCCCTAATATCTTTAGTTAGAATGCATTTTGGAGAAAATGTCCAATAGAAGAGTTGTATGGTTTCAAGCGAGATGTAAGATGATGACCTTGACTTTGATCTTGACCATGTCCTTTAAGGTCATTGCAAGGTCAACCTTATTTTTTTAAATGAACCTCCTACATTTTATTGCATATTTTTATAGCTTATCTTGAGAGCTTTCCAAAACACTATAATAAAACATTTTTTTATTAAGTACTTTTTGATTTATAAAGATTTGAAATTAACAATTTGTTAAATGGCGTGTGATTCCGGCCAGTTAAAACAATAGTAGCGTGTGGGTCCGGCCAGTTAAGACAAGAGTGGCGTGTGGGTCCGGCCAGTTAAGACAAGAGTGGCGTGTGGGTCCGGCCAGTTAAGGCGAATTTCATTCTAATTGGTCAGCTTGGGCAAAATATTCAATGTATCCATAGAGCTTATACTAATGGAGAGGCCATGCCTATATGCTAACCATAGAGAGGGCCGCGCGAGGAGCAACAGAGAGATAGATATATTTTGTCTCAACAGTGGCTCCCCCATTCCGTGTTCTCTGTTATTCTCTTCTATAAAAAGTGCTCACAATTGAAACAGAAAAATATATCTCTCTTTGGCAATCCTCCTTGCGCTCCCATGGCCTCTTCATGAGTATAAGCTCTATGATTGTATCAAACAATTCACACCAAATGTTCAAATTGTTGCCCTTCAACAGCTTGGCAATGTGCCAATCTGTTATAAACAGTTGAAACCGCAGTCCGGTAAGTTTCCGGCGGTATTAGTTCTATCTCTCGAGTTATTCTCCCTCTTAAATCATCTAAATCTTGAGGCTTGGTGACATAAACTTTACTTTTCAAGTAACCCCACAAAAAAAAGTCAAGTGGGGTCAAGTCCTGAGACCGAGGTGGCCACTCAATATGTCCCCTTCGCCCTATTTACTTGTCCTGAAAGACCTCATTCAAATATTAACAGACAATGACACCATAATGAGGTGAAGCTCCATCCTGTTGGAAATAAATTTCATCCATATTTCCACCAGCTATGTCTCGAATAGCTGGATTAATTTGTTCGCGAAGCATGACTGTGTATACCTGTGCTGCCAAATTGCCTTCAATGAAAAAAGGGCCAACTGGTCTACCATTAAGAATACCAGCCCATACGTTAACTTTTTGTGAATATTGGGTATGATTGTGTCTTTTCCAGTGAGAATTAACGTTACTCCAGTACCTACAATTGTGTCTATTTACATTTCCAGTCAGTTCAAATGTTGCCTCATCAGAGAAAACAATATTATTAAGTAATAGAGGATTGTCGACAATCATCTCCATCATAAGATCACAAAATTCGATGCGTCTATCAAAATCGTCTTCGGACAACTCTTGGGACAAATAGAGTTTGTATGGATGCCATTTATTCAATTTCAAAATTTTACTGACAGATGCATGACCGATTTCATGTTCTTGTGCAACGCGATTGATGGAAATATACCCAGTCAGAAATCGACGTCGATCAACCGCAGATCGACTAGTATAATCGACGTCGAATCGACGTCGATTCGACAAGGTATTTCTGACTGGGATAGGGATTTTCAACAAAAGACTGTAAAACATCTAATGCCTTATCTAATGCCATTATTTGTTGCTGTTTTACGTCTACCAGATCTTGAGCGGCTTTTAACGCTACCAATGTCCTCGAAACGTTGAACAGTACGGATTACAGTACTTTTAGAGATCTTATTAGTTTCATTCCGAAAATTTTCGTTAAATAATCGCGTTACCGTTTTATACTCTCTTTGGTGATCTCCCCATCCTCGCATCATTAACAGTGTTATTCGATCTTTTTCAGAAAGCTCCGTCATTCTTAATTAGAGCAAAGAAGAATTAAACAGGTAAGTGATAGGAAAATGATTTAAATAATTAAGTAGAGAAAAATACTAGTTATTAAGTGTCGGTCCAACTATTGATTTGTTTATTTCAACCAGCACTAGCAAAAAGCTCGTTGAGCAACTGAAAATCTAATAGATCAATTAAGAATATTTACGAAAAATTTCTGGGCTATTGGAAACAAACTGAAGATGTTTGAGACAATCAATTAAAGCGCAATGGCTTCTTTTGTTACAGAAAAAATTTTTGGGGCTGTTTGTTTTCGTCCACGAGGTAACTGCTGCTCGCTAAGAAGAAGACAGCACCGCATCAAAGATTAAAATCAGTGATCCGTATTGTTTGCTCAAGAGCTTGTACATTGGTGCCTTCGAGAGTGAGAGAATAAAGATCGATCCCGCCAACGCTTTCGGGCAGATTCCCGCTAACGCCTTCGGACATCACGCATTCGAGCAACTTCTCGCGATCACCTTCGGGCAGTTTTCCGCCGTAGCCTACTAGCATAACCGCTTGAAGCCGTACAACTTTGCTATTGGACATTTTTTCAAAATGCATTCTTACTGAAAATATTAGGGAGATCCGATACTTTTTGATAATTGTATTTTCTTTAAACCAATTAATTGGCCTCATTATTCCGCGCACAAAAGTATTAAGGTTATGATTACTGAAAACTAAATAATATTTTACAAGATATTTTACATTTTGTGTCAAAAAATTGTTAATTTCAAACTTTTATAACTCAAAAAGTACTTAATGAAAAAATGTTTTATTATAGTGTTTTGGAAAGCTTTTGAGATAAGCTATAAAAATATGCAATAAAATGTAGGGGTTCCATTTAAAAAAATAAGATTGACCTTGAAATGACCTTAAAGGACATGGTCAAGATCAAAGTCAAGGTCATCATCTTACTCCTCGCTTGAAACCATACAACTTTGCTATTGGACATTTTCTCCAAAATGCATTCTAACTGAAGATATTAGGGGGTCCGATACTTTTTGATACTTTGTATATACATATACATGTTAGTTGTCAACGTTAGATATTTAGTAAATGGCCAATAGTTTTACGTTTTGAGAAGAAAATTGAAAAGAAGAGTAGTTACATTATCGACACGACGTAGTTGTGGACACCCAATTGCTACTAGTTAGTTAGTACGGCGCTCGCTGGCGCTACGAGCAACCGCCCCGCTTGCCCTCCGATCCCCGCGTCTACTCCGCGAATTTTTGACGCCGTCTGTATGTATGTATATATATATATATATATATATGTGGTGCCGGTGGGTGCTGAGTTGGCACTCTTGCCAGCACAAGACCAGTATCGCTAAATGCGTTGATTTGTACGACGGTTTTGTAAAGTGTGCAAGTTAACAGCGTGAATCTGAATATTCAGTCAAGTATGTCGCGAGTGAATGTACTTAAAACAGGATCTACTTAAAAGCACGCCACAATACTTAATGAGCGATGAGTGGACAAAAGTTCCAGTATGACGAGAGCGGAGGAACGTTCTTTTACTTTCTGCTCTCTTTCTTGGCACTACTGTTGGTACCCGGGACTTACTACCTCTGGCCACGTTGCCCAAAGCCAGGTTATAGAGATCACAATCAACTCTTATTTAGTATCAGTAGGCACAAGTAATTTACAATCGTATTACATGTGATGACACTGTTTTATATTATGATTGAACAAATGCAATTTTTAGTTCCATTTCTATCTTTGCTATTTCTTACATTCATTTAACAGAATCCATGAAATATTGGATTTAATTTCCTTTATCCAAAGAGAAAATAATATTAATCATTTTTCTATATTAATTAATTGTTTTAGTTACACAAGTAATATTGATCTCATATGCATACACACACTGTATAACTTTTAAAAGAAAGTAAGAGAGAAGCAAGAATTTAATTATAAAACATTGATGAAAAAAGCATTTCTGATTATATATATGTTTTATTTAAAGTTTTTATACTTTTGTATAGATCCGAATCAGTTAGCTAAAGAATGTCAGTGCAATGGATGCAAAAAGAAAAAGATTGTCTTGCAAGCAAATAAACCTTGGAAAGAAACCAAAGCTTTGTTTATGTAAGTTTTTCACATGTTATGTTTATGTGATTCTAAAAATTGATACTTTATATATATATATATATATGTGATAGAATCAGGTAATTGTGTGATAAAGCTGTACATGTTATCTTTTTTTTTTTATTAACATTTGTATTATTACAGGAAATTTCTAATTGTTCTGGGATGGGCTATCTTGATACTATTGGCATACAAAGTGTCACAATTTGATTACGAAATGGCCAATTTTGATCCATATGAAATATTAAATATACCACCTGTGAGTATACAACTGAGTTTTTAGTTGTACAGTAGTTTTCTGTGAGGTAAAGATTAATATTAGTTAAAGATTAACATGATTATCAAATCATACAGGGTTCTTCACAAAGTGAAATTAAGAAAGCTTATCGCAAGCTTTCTTTGATTCTTCATCCTGATAAAGAAACTGGAAATGAAAAAGCATTCATGAAATTAACTAAAGGTAAGAAACATACAAGTATAAAATGTGAGCAAAATAAAGTGCGTATTAATGTAAATAAAAATATGTTTTGTAATATAATTCTTTGAATCTATTTTTACATATGTTACATACGTGTTACAACACATAGTAATATAGCATATGTTATAGATGTGTTGTTTATAGGTAGTTATATAGTATATTATATATATAGAGATTATCAGTGCTTAAATTATTCCTAGAATTAATTCCTATTTCCTAAAAATTCACTTTTTAATTTTTTAATTGTTTGAGAATTTTAGTATCCATCGTTCTTGAAACTTTTTTGTGTCTTTGTTTCGAGTTGTCTTCTGGTAATGTTTTGGATATTTGTATAAACCATTCAAATTTTTTGTATTTTTATTGACCTAAATAGCTTATCAAGCTTTAACGGATGAAGAAGCGCGAAAAAATTGGGAAAAATATGGAAATCCGGACGGTCCAGGAGCAATGAGTTTTGGTATAGCTTTACCTTCCTGGATCGTTGAAAAAGAGAATTCAGTATGGGTCTTGGGACTGTACGCATTGGTGTTTATGGTTGCTTTACCGACAGTTGTAGGAATGTGGTGGTACAAGAGTATTCGCTATACTGGTGATCAAGTAATCAACATTATCGTACACGAAAGAAATGTTTTTATGTATTATTTTTATATTGTATGTATTGTATATGTATTAAATGTGTAATTTATATTTTTAATTTTTTAGGTTCTCCTTACAACAACCGAGATGTATTACTTTTTCTTTGTGAAAACACCGTCTATGTCATTGAAGAGAGTCATCATGATACTCGCCGCTTCGTTCGAATTCTTTAAGAAACGTAACGCGGAAATAGTCGAAAGACATACTGATAGCGAAGAAGTTCCTTCGGTAATTGTATTTCTTGTTATTTATTTCTTTTTTATTTCTTTTTTATTTCTTTTGATAACAGTTTCTTAGGTGTATGTTATATATCGTACATACATTTCTGTTTGTATTTCAGCTCATTAAACAATTACCTAACTTGGGAGAAAAAAATAAAGAAGTGCCACTATGCCATTTGTATTCGATTAAAGCTAGAGCTCTGATACATGCTCATTTATCGCGTATACCGCTCAATCCTGAAACATTGGATAAAGATAGACAGTATATTGTAAAGAAATGTCCGTATTTGATTCAAGAAATGGTCGCCTGCGTTCACCAAGTTATACTTCTAGCTTATGCTAGAAGAGGTAAGTAGATAGAGAGAGAAAGAGAAAAGAATAAGATAGATTGACAATCAAGACAAATTATTTTATAGTACCACGGGTGCCAACTATAACTACTATAGAAAACTGTATGAAGTTGTGTCCAATGATTGTCCAAGGATTTTGGGAATTTAAAAACCCTCTTCTGCAATTACCGCACATAACTGAAGACAATTTAAAATACTTTCATGCGAAAAAGGTATTAGTGAAATCTGTAGCAACCTTTTGTATTTTTGTTAATAATTAGTAATTGTGTTTAAAAACTTTGTGTTATTTTTAGCGTCAAATCAAGAGTCTTCAACAATTTGCACAATTGAAGGGAGAAGAACGAAGACTGATTCTTCGAAATCTGTCGGACAGTCAATACGAAGATGTTATAAAGGTTCTTGGAAATATGCCGTATATAGATTTTAAAGTGAGATCGGAAGGTAATTTTCTTTTTTTTTTTTTTCTAATGTGTGTGTGTACGCGCGCGCACACACACATAAATAAGCAACAAATATATATATATATATATATATATTATATGATTTTAGTGATTGATGATGAAAATCCTACCGTGTACACTGCTGGTGCTATCGTGACTGTAACGGTATCGCTAACACGGAAAGATATGAGACATCTTTTTGGCGACGATTCTATCAACGAAAAGACGATAATCGATGATAATAAAGCCGTTGGTGAAGCGACTGAAGAAACTATAGAAGAACAAAATCAATCAACGAAAGCGGCAAAACCAGCATGGTTAAAGCAAAAGAAAGGACAAAAAAAGTCGCATAAAAAAGGCGCTAACAAAAAGCCAACTCCCGCTAAAAACACGCAAGCGCAGTCTAACCAGGTTGTAGTTAACAATACTCAGCAAAGTGATACTCCCAATGCGAGAAAGAAAGAAGATAAAACAGAGAAAGAGTCTTCCAAGGACAAATTGTCCGATTTTACCGATAGTGAAATCGAGAGTGAAAAAAGCGATGACGAAGATAATCGTGAAAAAAAAGATGTGTCTCTCGATGATGATGACACAGAATGGGAAAAGTAAGAGAAGATACATTAGTTTATTTGTATATTTAAATACACATTGTATCTTTCTTTTGCTCATGCTTATGTGACTTGGTTTATATTTTTTTCTCATATAGGTTCCAACAGAGAATCTCTAAACGAGAGAGAGTATTGGAAGGGAAAAGTAATTTATCCCACGAAGTGCACTGTCCACTCTTTCCTGATGTTAAGCAAGAATATTGGTGGGTGTATATCTGTGATCGCAAGAGTTTAACATTGTTGACGACTCCTGTACACGTTACGTCGTTAGCAGAATTTGAGGAAATTCAGTTGAGATTCACGGCACCGCGCTGGCCAGGCCTTTATACATTTACCGTGTGTCTACGTAGCGATTCATATCTAGGATTTGACCAAGCTCAAGATATCAAGGCGAGTTCTATGAAAATTCTATTGATAAGTGTAACGAAAGTTTTATAATTTAACGATGTAATGTGATGTTTTGTAGTTGGATGTAAAAGAAGCACCGGAAGTACCAACAGAACATCCTCAATGGGACATCTCAGACGAAGAAACTGCGGAAGATGTAGATGCGGTCGATGAACATTCCGAGTTCACTACCGACGAAGATGTTAGTGACAATGAATAATATCTGTTTCTCATGTGTGTGATGACGGAATAGATATTCCATGAGTCCGCATTTTCCTCTTTTTTACTTTCTCGAGTTAATGTACAATGAACTTTTATACACGAAGTTTGTATTGACATATGTGAAGAGACAATCTAGGAAAATTAGTCTGGTATGTAATTAAAATTTATGAAGAGTGTGCGAATAAAGAATATAATATTTATTTTAATATTGTTGTTCAATTTCATTGAAATATAATATACAATCAATATTTTTAACACATTCCGAGAAAATAGCTTATAATGCTTTATAGAAGCAATTCTGTATATGTGTATGTAATTTTCTTTTTATTAACATGCATCTAAAGTGACAGGTGATAAAAAAATCTAGGTTGAGCGAAAGTACATTGAATCACTAAGCGTGTACACGCACACGCGCGCGCGCGCTCGCACACACACACACACACACACACACACACAGACGATACTTTTACACTATCATAAAGTGAGACATACAAATTTAAAATATCGAGATGACTGGATACTCTGAACAGTCTAACGAGATCTCTATAACCAAACGGATTTCTAATATCTATTAACGCCAAGAAAGATGAACATATTTTATGTAGCTCGTGTAAGTACATTATTTTCTATCTTTTTTATTTGATTTCGATTATATATTATATATTTACATGGAGTCTATTATATATTTTACAGCTATTAAGAATCTTCCTTATTCTTTATTGTTTTCTAAATATCACAAGTGTTACTTTTGAGAACGGTGAGTAATTTGTATGGAAATAAATATTAGCCCACATAATTTGACAAAAGTGTAGTAAAAGTCATAAAAGTGTCAGGAATTTTGTATATAGAAATGTTACAACTCTATTAAAGCACATAACAAACATATAGAATCTATTGTGCACTTGTAATACACAATTCTCTCTCTTTCTCTCTCTCTCTCTCCCTCTCTCTTTCAAAATATTTACATTAAAATTACATTACAATTATAAATGTTTGACATTAAAGTAAAAAACCAAGAGTGTTTATAAAACTAAATTTACAAACAGATATTTTTTGTAGGTCAGAATGACAAATGTTGTACAATAAAATCGGAACAATTATCGAATAAGCCTGTTTATACATTTGTGAAAACTGATAAACATGCTAATATAAAATGGAGTGTACGACATTATGTTCAGCGCGCATATTAACGTGAGCAGATTTCACCGATTGAATGCATTTGACTGTGGGAAAATTTGTAGTATAGCACATGTACCGTCCAACGAGTATATATAGATATTAAATAGTATATTTTTTCATAAATCCAAACTAATTACCTCGATGTATTTCTTCTGCATTTTAGTCACTAAATTGCCCAACCTACATACAAAGAATAATGTAAATTTAATTCAAAATACAGAAAAGAAAGTTTATAGTAATGTAGAGAGATATCTTACTTGTAACGTATGACTAAATTATCGTATATTTCATTGTTTTCTAATTGAATAACGTTGTCCAAATTGGTACTAGGAAGATTAAAAACTTGTTGATTGTTAAATTGCGAGTCATCATTCAATAGTGTGATCTTTCTTTCGATATGTTCCTTCCAATAACATTCATATTCTTTTGAATAAAGTTTTGTCATGAAGATAATTGAATGGAGTACTTTTTCAAGCTTTGACAATCTGTTGTACAGCTCGTCTATTTGACTGTTAAAATATATCCATGAAATACTTATAAATAACGTCAATTAGAAATTAGAATGTTATATTTTTAAGTACGTACATGATTCAAAAATAAATTTATTGCAAATTATTAGAAAATATTTGATACCTTGTGATATTAATTATAGCTTTGTTACGAAGTTGTTTTTCGCGTGACCTCAAGAATGCAAATATTAATTTCACCATATCTACTGATTTTGCTGTTTTATGAAAACTTTCTTTCTGAAATTCCGAATACATATCGCACATCTTATTGTATCTATAAAAATCAAAGTGTGAGCACGCAACAAATTTTATATTTTGTTTATCCACAACACATAATGCTTATTTACATTTCTGACAAATCTTTAATAAAATCGAAACTTTGAATGTTATATCTCAATTTATCGTTATCTCTGTTCAAAGACATAAATTCCATTTTTACTTGATTAACTGCGCCATTCAATTTATCAATTTTGTCCATTCTCATTTGTGTTTTACAAGTCGTATCTTCGAGGTTTGTTTTTTTCATATATTTTATACCTGTGTTTGCGTATACTCGATCTGTAAGAGTCTTTGTTTTTCTTAACATTTCCTCCAAATTCGCATTAAACATATCTATTTTTTTCTGTAGTAAATCTCTGAGAAATACAAAAATATTTATTATATAATAATTATTAACAATTAATAAAAATTTACATTAACACTTAATAAAAAAAAACTTACACATTTATATTAAGAGCAAATATGTATAACTGAAATAAAGTCACTTCTTTTTTCACAAAATATATTGTATGACGATAATAATCTTTCACTTCCTCATAATTTAACTCGGTTTTTGATTGTGTTATCATTTTTTCCACTTCTGTAGAAATATGCAAAGTAGGTATGTCTTTTGTCAGATGTTTGTTTCTGAAGAGGAATAAAATATGATCCTACGCAGTAAAAATAATATAAAATTAGACAAGAAAAGTATTGTGTATATTTATTTATTTTTATTATACATATATACGTAAGTAAAATATACTTTGATATACGCACATTAGGTTGTGATGCAAGTGTCACTGTACTTTCATTCACTACTGTACCGTTGTAATCAGTCAATATTTGATGCTCAACCTCGATAGTGGTACTTTCTTGTATCAACAATTGAAGATCTTTAATGGTAGTTGAACTATTGATTTCGTACGTATAGATTTTGTAAAATGGTACACAGAAAACGTACAATATCTACATTTATTGTTTGTATATGCATATATGTAAAAAAATAGTGCGGATTAAGAAAGAAAAGATGTAAAATAATAAAATATATTGAATTTGTGCATTACATACTTTGTTCATTATTATCTGTTGCAGCATTGTAAATACCATCAAATTGTTGAAAATTCTACCTCTTTTATGTGAATCCCATTGTAAAACTAATCTAAACCATTGAACCATACTTTTTCGGAGATAGCTGCGCACATGTAAGAAGATAAACAAACATATATATGTACCCTAATAGGCAAATTGTGAAAATATTGTACAAAAATGGCATCATGAATAACGACGGTCCTGCAATAATTGCACTGAGATGATTCGCCATAATGCAACAGTTTTGTCAAAATACAATTTTGTAAATAATATTTATCAAAAATTGCGAAAAAGTCGTTATGCATTTCTATAAGTATATACATGAATTAAGTTGATTTCTTTATATGCAATTATATTTCTACATATTTTAAACATCACATAGCTGAAATTTTTTTCTCAATTATTGACAATTCCTTTTTGAAATTAATTTTGCAAATATACTGCTAAGATGATTCGTCATATCGTTATTCTTTTGCCGAAATAGTATTTGGAAAATACTTTTGCAAACAACTACAAATATTTTATAAAAGATCACTGTTTTTATATCTATTTCCTAAAATATATCTGTATAATTGCAAATTACAATTTTAGTGCAAGATTTTGTCACATAATTTTGTAAATGTTTTCCTATAAAGGTATATCTATAGTGTCCGCCAAAAGTTCGGGCCACCTAAATAACTTCAGAATAGTTCAAGATATTAGATTGAAATTTATAGGGATAAAATGGGATCATAAAGTCTATCATTTAACTACAAAAACATATATCTCCATACTACCAGGAGACGGAGGAAGAGGGGGATTGGAAAATGGAATCGAGTGAGAGCTCGTTTGAAAAGGTTTTCCGAGACAAGAACAACGCGGGATCATCGTAGTCTCTACGATTTTTTTTCGAGTTATGATAATTTAAATATTTCTATTGAGAGTTTGCGATAGAACGGCTCACAGCGAAAATGTTAGAAAGATAAGACTTCACGCGGGCACGTGTTTTTTTATGTGAGTAGAAGTGCATGTAGGAGAGAGAGAGAGAGTGTGTGTGTTTCTTTTCGTGTTTGCCGCAAGCATAAGGACCCTGTGGTTCGTCAACTCCACAGTATTTCACGACTCCAAACTGCTCCAAATCCTCCTTGCCGCAAAAAGTGCTAGCGTACCCATAAAGTTCTTAAAGAAACACACACACACTCACACACACACACACACACACTCACAC